TATCTACAAATACCGAAGAGAAAACTGAAAAGTTAGAAATGTTGAAACGGTGGGAATACCCCATCTTCACCGAAATATAAAAATGAATTTCCCATCTATTTTCGAGAGAAGGGGCACTTGGAGCATCGTAAACCGCCAGCCGCGACCTCGCGACTATGGCCACTATGCTACCGCGACCAAATGATTTCGATGTACAAATTTTTTTTTTTGGTATGTGCTGATCCAAAAATCACCGTTTTCGTGAAAATTTTCGAAAGTTTCTTTATTGATTGATTTTTAATCGTATTTACGATTTCAAAAATGTGTTGTATTTGTTTCTAGGTTAGTTTATTAATGTAAGTATATAATACCTTTTAAGAAGCATTAAAATTTTTATTCGCCTTTCTTGGAAAACTGCGATTTTAATTCTCTTTGATAACGAATAATCACATTTCTTAAAAGGTGCTTCATATATTCAATGAAATTTTACTACAATGTTCTCTACATCTCTATGTATGTTTTAAACCTCAAACATAACTTTTAAATAAAGATCCATTTATTTTGGAGTTATTTTTATTTGAAAAAAGTAATATATTTTTTTTGTAAAATCATGTTGGGTTTATAAGTTTTGCTATTACTCAATAATTTTAAGAAATAACTGCGTTTTTCTGCTTCACAACACAGTTATGTGTATGTTAAGTATATTGTTGAATTAGAATGTGAAATATTTTAATTAGAATTTGTTATATGAGCTTCAGCGTAGTTGTCACTTTTTGCGAAATTTAAAAAAAAAATATGGCCAAAATTTGAAAAATATACGAAAGTTCATAAAAATGACTTTTGCATTTACAATTTTATTGACCATTGTAACTAAAAACATAAATATTTCACAATTTTTTTTTTTTTTTTTGAAAAAAAAATTTGCTTAAAAGCTGGGAACATAACTTATAATATTTAATCAAAATATTTGAAGAATTAAAAGGTAGAAAAAAAAAATTTGTACTGCAATTTATCTTGGTCTTTAGATACAAAATATACCAAATCACTAGTTTTTAAGTTTGTTTTTAGTATAACTTAGTACTATCCAATTATCTGGAGAAGTAGAAAAGTTACGAAAAAAAGAGAAAAATTTGTTTAAAGAATAAATTTAGAGTTCAATATTTCAATTGAAATGTATTCTAAATTAACTTTTTTTTTCAGATCGAAATTTATTACATGTTATATTTTAAAAGCACAATTTTTTAACTTCTAAAATAATTAGAAATAAAGTACAAAATGTAGTTTGGTATGCAAAGACATTAAGAATTGAATTTGAAAAAAAAATTATCATTAAAAGAACATTCTCTTTTGTTAAAAAAGGAGGAAATGTAAAATAATTCTACACAGCACCATAGCAGCGTATTTGACTTTAAAAAAAATCGCCAAGATAAAGTGACAAACATCCGCCAGATTATCATTATTGATAAGGAATATCTATACCGAATATAAAAAGGAAATTTCAGACTTTTTCAGTACGAATTTCGTTTTATCTTAAAAATCAAGCATTTACCTCTCTTTTAGAGATATAAAAAAAAGGAATGGAGTTTTTTTTACAATATTCCTGTATTTTATTAATGATCTTATCTTTATAATCTATCCCGAAAACCCGCTGAAAGGGACGAAAAGTACATACTTTTTATAGACCATGAACATCGCACATTACTGCCTTGAATCGACATGAATGCAGTTTTTATGCCTGGATAGATCAAAGCGGAATCGTTAATGTGTATGAAAAATCGCCATATTTACAATTTCAACGTCGTCAAGGATTATTTTGAAGGTAAAAGTGGAAAAAAATAAATTTTAATAATGCATATATATTTTCTAAAGTTGCTTATTGCATTATAAGACGCCATAAACATTTAATGAAAAATATAAACATATATCTGAACTGATAAATATATATTAAAAAATTTTATTCGGTAATCGAAAATATTTGAATCGTTCGCTTTCTTTTCAATGAAAATAAAATCGCTTATATTGCAATAAGTAGGAGAAAAAAAACCAACAAAAAAATGAGAGAGTTTATAATTTTTAAAAAAGGGAAAAAATCAACAAAAATAAAAATAAAATTTGATGATTTTTCATTCTGATCAATAAATATCCATTTCTGTGTAAGTGCAGTCATAACTACATAATGGTAATTGACAGTAATTATTGAAGAAAAAAATGGTGCAAAAAATGAACCAGTCGTAAACCTTCGCTAAACTAATGCATCTGGGGTTTCTTCCTGACTTCATATTTAAGTTTCCAACTTCTTTCCAACTAAATGAAACGCGGATACGCAAACTAATCAAACTTTAGAAGAGTAGTGAATAAATATAATCAAGTCGTATAAAAGCGACAGAGAATTGAATTGGTGTTATTAATGCCGAACAAGAAGCAACACGAGGGCTATTCGCGACGGTGAGTGAGTGAGTGAGTGAATGTAAATTTTATTGGCGCAAGAGCCAGATATGGCCATGCTGCGCCGAACAAGATTAAACTGTGGTCTAGACGTGAAGTTGAAAAAAAAAGGTAAAAATGGTTGACAAGAAGGAAGGTCGAAAATAGAGAAGGATCGCTAGGGTATCCCGGGAGTGCGTCACCCGGGTTTACCAAAGACAGTAAATCCCATGGGAAAGAAAAAGATCACTAAGGTGCCTCGGGGTCATGATGCCCGTAATTACCTGAAGAAGGCAAGTCCCTGAGGTCCCCTGATATAATCCCCAGGGACAGGGAAAGCTGGTCTATACCCCCAGCCGCTGGGTACCCATTTTAGTCGCCTTTTACGACATGCATGAGCTACAGTAAGACTATTCTGTCATCCCCGGTCACCACACGGGTCGCTATTCGCGACGGACCTCATGACTTTGAACCTCGACCAAGTGACGAGGATGATACCTGAGCTGGCAACCTCTCTCCTAACTTCCCCACCATGTCAATGGGAGGACTTTAAGCCCCGACAGATTTAACGTGCATCAGCCCCGGCTACAAGGCTGGTCTTGAGTGACATCAAGGCTAGAACCCACTACTCAATGAAAACTGATGACCGCAACCATGACCACTTGGCTACCGCTGTCATAAAAGCGACAGAGAATTAAATTTGATATAGAAAGGTAACGGTAATATAGCAAGAAAGCTATTGTGAAGGACCTGAATGTAACGCGAGAGTTATTTGTATATATATGTGATCTTCTGCGACTAGGACTAGAGGCTGTCTGGTCGAAGTTTCTCCATGGTGGTTTAGTGATAAAAGTAAAATTTGATGTCTTACAGGTGTTAGTAACTGTGGAGTGAACAAGTAAAGTTAAACATAATCTATCAGATTTTAAAAAATGATTGACTACATTCCTTAATTATTTCCGTCTGAGTATTTAAGTTAATGTATTTGTACTTGGAATTAAGTTGAATTTTAAATTTGCTATTTGAATGATTTTTAAGATGATATAAATACTATACAGTGGGAAAGAAGTAACTTTCGTAATCACTTTCGTAATTCCCATCAAACGATACAAAATTTCAATGAATGTTAATAGCTCCGAAACAACTGAATTATGAGGCTAATGGATTGATTAATTAACTTCATTAACACGCTAAGTAACTTCTAATACAGAATTTCTTCACGGTGGAATCCAATTTTTTACATAATTGAATTTTTGCAAACAGACGCAGACAGAAAGTAGTGTAAATAACCTATGTTCTAAATTTAATTCGGAGATATTCAAAGGGTTGAATACTAGATTATTTCCTCGCAAGCGAATGATAATATTTTTCTTTTTTTTCCCCTTGTATAGAGCGGAATAAAAATTAAATATTCTTTCCATACCGAAATGACTGTCCGATTTTAAAATTTGTATCCACTTAAAGATATAGAAACGAAATGAATGGTTTTTAACATTGCTCATATTGCTGAGAAGTGGTTTTATTTGATAAAAATCGGTCCATCGATTCGTTTTATTAACGTCGCATTAGAAGTAACACGAGGGCTATTGGCGACAGACAGCGTAATTCTGAACCTTGGTCAAGAGACAATTGAGGAAAAGGAAAACGAAACTTCTAAAGTTTTCTAGATGCAGAAATTCCTGACAGAAGTTGTATGAAGCAAACGCCTTACTACAAAGGGGATGTCCCTTGCCACTAGGGTTTCTTTCTCGGGAAATTATAAGATTTCTGTACTTTTTCTATTTCCAGGAACGATGTTAAAGAAGAGTTTAGCTGTGAAAAGATGGTTTGTTTGGATACCAAAACACGCTGGAATAATTTGTTGGTAATGCTTGAAAGAGTTTTGGAAATAAAGTCAGAAATTTTAAAAGCATTAATTGACATTAAAGAAGATCAAATGATGGCCGATGTAGAGTTTGAAACTGTGACTACAATTGTAACTGGCTTAAAGCCAGTAAAAATTGGCTTAGAAAAATTATGCAGCCGAAAGGCAACTTTGCTAACTGCAGAAGGTGTATTTTCTTTCGTTACTGGATAATTGAACGAACAAAATTCAGAATTTACGAATAATATGAAATATTCTCTAATTCAAAGAATTAACGAGATACGCAACGTTAATTTAATAGGATTAATGCAATATCTGAATTTCGGAAGAAAATACGAAGCAGTTGTAGTTGCTGTCGATATTTTGCGATTGCCTGGAAAAAATTGTTTGGTTAGACAAGCCCAAATGATAGGGACATGGCTTTTCTGCGAAGAAGAGGACTTAATATCCAACTCTTCGCACTCAGAAGAAGAGAGCATGGAGATTTTGAAAAAAAAAAAAAAAACCTATGACGTTGGACGAAAAATTAGAGAAAGCAGTTTACTCTAAAACAAAAATTTTATATTGTTCAACCAAAAAAAGTACTAGTCTCAACAAAATCATGAAACAAGAGATGTAGTTGTTCGACTCGATGGAAAATCCATCATCAAACATTATAAAACTATATGAGGCTTTAAAAACAATTCCTCCAACGTCAGTTGAAGCCGAGAACATTTT